TCCAGCTGAGGTTCCATCGACTCCCTCCAAGTGATGAGGTCCCGTCGACCTTGCAGCGGTGCGACGGTGATCTGGTAGGGCAAGAACTTGAAGTAGTTATATGCCGGTGCAATACTGCCCGCTGTCACATGCGTCGTCGCCGAGAGCCTTCCACCGCTTCGTAGAGGAGAGCGACGTCGAACATCGATGTCTACACGCGAGCTGCCTGCAGCCGCCGTCAACCGCTGCACTCGCACCTGGATTCCGTCGACACCACCGTCGACCTTGATCACCCCTATCTGCCTCGTGCCTTCGTTGGCGCTGACTCGTGTCAGAGGTCCACTGGTGATCCCCGATTGATCCTAGAGAAGGGTTACATGCTACTTGTCCTAGGGGGTTATGGGCACACTGACCTGCTACTTATCAAGCCCTTTTGTCCCAATGGTCTAGTGGTTGGGATTCTGACATGGTATCAGAGCAAAGGTCTCGGGTCCGAATCCCAGTGTGTGCACTTCGGGCATCCCAGTGCGGGGGGGTGTCAGAGGTCCACTGGTGATCCCCGATTGATCCTAGAGAAGGGTTACATGCTACTTGTCCTAGGGGGTTATGGGCGCACTGACTCGCTACTTAACAAGCCCTTTTGTCCCAATGGTCTAGTGGTTGGGATTCTGACAACTTGTGCACCACCGTCGACTTCATCGTCGACGCCACCTTCGTTGCGCACCAGTCGAGGAGATGTAGGACGGGAAGGGTGTTCCGTCGCCCACTTCGACCGGATGCCCAACTCGACAATCAGCAAGGGGATCGTCCCGTACTCGCCATCCGCGTGGCGTTTCCTTGCATCAGCCAAGCGTGTCTCCAAGGTGTTCGCTACACCCGCATTAGCTACGGGGTTGACCATGATGACTGTCGTTGCTGCCGACCTACGAACAAATTAGTAGGTGCAAAATTCGGCTCCTATCTAAAGGTAATCTGCGGGGCCATCCATGCTCACCGCACCATGCATAGAATCACTCTTCAACGGTAGTGAGCTAGACTACGGGGGTTGGCACGAACTACTAGGAGTGATCGTAGCTTTGCTTATTTCCTTAGTGCTTGCACATTCACGGGAGTAATCCGCAAGAGTTTCCACTAGGCAAAGACGAAATTACAGAATTGATTGAACAAGCAATGACAGAATGACTACATCAGGCACCTAGCAACCCTGCAGCTAGCCAGGTCGACCGCCAGCACAGCTTGGTCGACCGCCTGCCAGCGTTGTGTAAAGGAGCCGCGCCACCACTACGGAAAGGTGACCTGCGAACAGAGCAGGTCGACGGCGTGCCAACGCTGCAGTAGAGTGGTTGTCCAGCGTTGCCCCATAGAACACAACAGTGCCCACGCTCGCAGGTGCGCGCAGACGATTGGCTCGACTTGCCTCGTTGGGCATCCGTCGGCTTTTGTCTCCGCCTGACGAGCCACATCGACTTTGGGATACCAGCCCGACGTCGCCTTTGCCATTGCGACCTCGACGATGTTCGCGTGCCTCCGCTGAACTCGTCGAGCAGGATACCCGGTCGGCCCGGTCGACCCCCAGGTGCCTCTGGTCGACCACAACTTCCGTCGACCAAAACAGTCAGCGGTTGTCGTCAAGCTCCCTTCGTCGACCACTGCCCACTTGTCAGGTCGACGGACTGCTCTGTCGACCTCCCAGTTCCCGGTCAAGCTGCAGGTCGACGGAGACCTCTTGGTCGAGCTGCCCCTCCTGGTCGACGGCCCAACCGTTGCACAGACTAGTCAGTTACAGCTGTCGAGCTCCCTGGTCGACAGCAACACCACAGTGGTCCCCTACAGCTCGACAAAGCCTGTCGAGCAGCTCTCCCACTGTGAACAGTCGGCTGCTACTTCCGTACACCCGACCAAGTCGTTGGCGTTGCCCAAGCGAAGGCGGGGCCAACACTTCATTCCCGGTAACATTAACGTCACGACCGGCCGGCACAAGGGGAAATAGCCGAGACAATGGAGACTTCGCGAAACAAGACCTTGCACCGACTGGGAAACTCCAGCCGTACACCCCGACAAGTTAAAAAATACTTCTCATGGGTCTCAAGCCTTTATTAAGGGAGAGTCATAAATTAAATCGGTACCGGGAAATATGGGGACCCTACTCCGGAGCGCTAATAAGGGTCGAGCGTTACGAGGAGCTAATATTCTCTCCCAACAGCATTGTTTAAAGGCTCCATGTTCCCCACAGATGCAGCCTACACAGCTGCAAAGGTTTAGGGGAAGGTTCCAGGCTCAAGAAAAGTTATACCAGCCTTGGATAAATCCTTATAATCCTACTCAGGTGATACCTGATATTGAGACAGCACCTTCAAGCGCAGGACCAAGGGATGATACATTTGATCTACCCTTTTATCCTATAAGCAACACCATCTACAGCTGCTCGGAGCGGCAACAACCACTAGTACTCGAGGCGATCTGCAACGGGCGACGCCTCCAGGCCCTAGTGGACAGTGGTGCGTCCCACTCGGTACGCAACCGCGGGACGTTGGAGAAAATTGTAGAGTCATCGGAGTAGACCGAATTTACAACAACGATGGTGGATGGTACGAAGCTTCCTATCCACGGCGATTCAATACTGCAGCTGCAGATAAGAGTGTTAAGGTGGAAGCCGACGTTGTCGATCACGAACATCAAGGGATTAGATTTCATCTTGGGGCGTGATTTTCTGAAGCGTTTCAACCCCGAGATTGACTAGGTCAACCAGAAGGCGTATATCTACAACAATGGGAAACGTGTGGAGCTTAGAAGCTAGACGGATATAGGGAATGTTCCTGAGACAACACTTGTACGGTTTGACTGGACAATGAACGAGAGTACTACGGGTTACTTAGCACTGGTGATTGCAGCAGCAGAGGAGGAGGAGAAGCCATACGCAGGGCTACCTGCAGCAGTGAAGGAGGTGTTGGAGCAGTACAAAGACATCATACCAGACGACCTGCCTGCAGGAGTGTCTCCAGCGCGAACCCACGAGCACGAGATCGTGGAAGAACCAGGTGCGAAACCCGTCTCGCGTGCACCATACCGACTAAGTCCGACCGAACTAACAGACATGAAAACAAATCGAATATCTACTGGACAAGAAATTGATCCGCCCATCCACCTCTCCCTACGGCCATCACTTATCTTCACTCCAAAGCCAGACGGTAGTTTACAAATATGCATCGACTACCGTGCACTGGACAAACAGACAGTAAAAACAAATTTCCCATACCGCGCATAGACGATCTTCTAGACCAACTACGTTGTGCGACGGTGTTTTCGAAGCTGGACCTATAGTTGGGTTACTGGCAGATCAAGATGGCGGACAGCTCGATTCACAAGACGGCGTTCCGTACAAGATACGGCTCCTACGAATACTTAGTGATGCATTTCGGACTCTGCCATGCACCGGCGGCTTTTCAGGCGGAGATGGACCACATCCTACGGCCCTTGCTGGATGAGTGCATGGTAGTGTACCTAGACGACATACTGATCTACTCCAAAAATATGAAGGAGCATGTGGAGCATCTGTGGAAAGGGTTTGAGATCTTGCGGGAGAACAAGTTCTACGTGAAGCAGTCGAAAAGCGACTTCGCCCTGAAGAAAGTGCAGTTTTTCGAACACATGGTGAGTGCGGAGGGCGTACACGTGGACCCGCGGAAGATCGAAGACGTCAAGTCTTGGAAAGTGCCGGAGAACGTGAAGGAGTTGCAGCAGTTTCTAGGCTTCATCAACTACTACAACAGGTTCATGCCGCAGTATGCTAAGATAGCAGCGCCACTGACCAACCTACTGGAAAAGGATATGCCCTACAAATGAGATACTCCTTAACAACAAGCCATGGAGCAGCTATACATAGCACTGACTACGACGCCAATACTCATCCTACTGGATCCAGACAAGGACTACGTGGTGGAAGCAGACGCTAGTTACCAGGCAATCGGAGCAGTACTGATGCAGCCCATCGCCTTAGTTACACGGAGCAGAACTGAACTACCCAATTCATGACAAGGAAGCCTTAGCAATAGTCACAGCCTTCAAGGCGTGGAGGTGTTATATAGAGGGAGCCAAGACTACATTTTACACTAACCACTGTAGCCTCAAATACCTGAACTTGCACCCGACACTTTCACGACGACAGGTGCGGTGGGTGGACTTCTTGGAGACCCACTTCCATCACGACATCGTCTACAAACCTGGGCTACACAACAAGGCAGACGCGTTGAGCCGCCCCGGTCACGTAGCAGGCATCCAGCTCGACGGTATGAACCCTCTACTAAAGGGTCTATTCCAACATGGGTTCTCCGTAGACGCAGAGATCGCTACAGCAGAGCTGTTACAGTGGGAGAATGACTTAGCTGTAAGAAAGGGAATATGAAAGACTTGGGTACCAAACTATGCCCCGCTCCGACAGATCTTACTGGAGGACTTTCATGACGTAGCATACATGGGACATTCCGGGAGCAACAAGTGTCAGAACATTATAGCTTATGCTTTTGTGTAGGCTGTAGTGGGGTATCCCATAGGGGGTACAACCCAATTAGGGTTAGTACTTGTACCCACTTCATTCATAGTTCATTCATTTCTCGTTTTCATTTCCTCATGGTATCGAGCAGGTTCCCTCGTGGGAACTTTTCCTAGGGCCCACCAATTCTTTTTTTTCCTGCCCGGGGCGCGTCCTGCCCCTGCCCGAAGCGCGCTTAGGGTCGCGCCCTCCTTAGCGGCCCTGTCGCGTCACCCTTAGCGGCCCGTCACGTCGCCCTTAGCGGCCCATCGCGCCGCCCTTACGGCCGCGTCGCGCCGCCCTAACGGCCGCGTCGCGCCGCCCTAGCGGCCTCTCGCGGCCCCAATCAACCGCCCTTGCGGCCCCGATCCACCGCCCTTTCACCAGCAGTTTTGTCGCCGCCCTTGCAGCGGCCCGTCGCCGCCCTTACAACGGCCCGTCGCCGCCCTTCTCACGGCCCCGCCATCCCTTTAAACGGCCCCGCCGCCCTCACCTACGGCCCGCCGCCCTTCCTGCGGTCCGTCGCCCTTACCTGCGGCCCCGCCGCCCTTACCTGCGGCCCCGCCGCCCTCAACTGCGGCCCTGCCGCCCTTACCTGCGGCCCCGCCGCCCTCAACTGCGGCCCCGCGGCCCTCACCTGCGGCCCCGCCGATCTCACCTGCGGCCCCGCCGCTCTCACCTGCGGCCCCGCCGCTCTCACCAGCGGCCCCGCCGCTCTCACCGGCGGCCCCGCCACTCTCACCGGCGGCCCCGCCGCTCTCACCAGCGGCCCCGCTGCTCTCACCGGCGGCCCCGCCGCTCTCACCTGCGGCCCCGCCGCTTTCACTTCCGGCCCCGCCGTCCTAACCTGCGGCCCCGTCCCCTGCTGCAGCGCCGCCCGCCACCCGAGCTGCCCGAGCCGCCTCACCCAGCCGAGCAGCCGACCACCGCGCCGCCCTGCAGCAGCACCGCCGAGCCGCCCGGGCAACCGAGCAGCCGGACAGCCGAGCCGCCGAGCCGCCCAGCAGCCGAGCAGCCGAGCCGCCCTGCAGCCGAGCCGCCCAGCAGCCGAGCCGCCGTACAGTCGAGCCACAGGGCCGCCGAGCCGCACTGCAGCCGAGCCACCCAGCCGCCCAGTAGCCGAGCCGCCGAGCCGCCCTACTGCCGAGCCGCCCGAGCTGCCCCGTCCGGTAAGCACAGCGCCTCTTTCACCGCACTGCCCTCACCCTACTGTTTGCATTGCTAGTCCACTGCTGTCATGGCTAACCCTAGTGTCCTCGCTTGTGACGCTAAGGGTCGAGCCATTGACTTTGACGTCTGGGTAGATGACCTGCAGCTGTTCTTATAGTGCGATAGGGCAAACGGTCTCTCTCTCTTTGCCCTCGCCTTTGGCGCCTCTCCTACCCCTGCTGCTGATGCTGACGCCACTGTTCGCTCCCAGTGGGCCACGCGCGATGCTGCTGCACGTCTTGCTGTGCGTCGCCACCTCCCTACCTCCGAGCGTGCGCACTTTAGTCAGTACAAGAGTGCTCAGACCTTGTACGACGCTGTAGTTGCACGCTACTCCTCCCTTGCCACTGCGGCACTGAGCCGTCTCATGCTACCATACCTCTTCCCTGACCTTGCTGCCTTTCCCACAGTCGCTGACCTCATTACGCACCTCCGCACTAGTGACACTCGCTACCGCGCTGCGCTTCCTGCTGACTTCTGCGCCAAGAACCCCCCCCCCCATGTACATCACCCTCTACTACATAGTCACCCGACTCCCTGACTCCCTTCGCGTAGTCAGGGACCACTTCCTCGCAGTGTGCCCCACCACTCTCATCATTGACCTCCTCGAGAAGGCCCTCCTAGCGGTGGAAAAGAGCATAGTTGCTGTAGGAGCCTCTCGTGGTGACCCCCGCACCCCTGTCTTTGAGGGGTGTTCTCCCTCCCCCCTCTTGCCCTCTGTTGCTTCTGCTGCTGCGGCCGACCTCGTTGGTTTTGAGTCGGTCGGTGCTGCGTCTGCCCCTTCGGGGAAGCGCCGCACAGGCAAGGGCAAGGGGGGCAAGGGCGCTGGAGGAGCTGGCGGGGGCGGTGGAGGTGGCAGTGGAGGCGGCGGAGGGAGTGGGGGTGGTGGTGGGAGTGGTGGAGGAGGTGTGGGTACCGGTGGCAGCAGTGGAGGCGGAGGCGGCGGCAGTGGCGGAGGGAGCGGAGGCGACGGTGGTAGCGGAGGCGGCGGTGGTGGCGGAGGCGGCGAAGGCGGCGGAGGTGGCGGTGGAGCTGGTCGCAGGTCTACGCAGAGGAGTGGCGCCGGTGGTGGTCCGCACCACCAGCAGCAGCGCGGTCGTGAGACCCTGTCCCCTCAGCAGCTCCGTGAGTGGTACATTGCACGCCAGCGGGGTGGGGGTTTTGGTCCGTGCACCTACCTCCTGCGCACCGGCGACCGTGCGGGTGAGCAGTGTGGGGGTGCGCACCCCACCCACCGCTACTTTGGCCTCCTGACGGACGCGTGGCGTCACCAGTTCCCTGAGGCCACAGAGATCCCTCGCTGGGGCGAGCTGTCTAGGGCGGGAGTTGCCATCTATGATCTTGATTTTGATGCCATTCTTTCTGCCATGTATGTTGTGACTATTAGTGATGAGGGTGACTCTTACCGGTGTTTCCTGCCCGATCCGGGCATTGAGACTGCTGCTCTAGGTACTGGTGAGGCTGCTGCCCTAGGTGCTTGCGATGCTGCTGCTTGAGGTACTGGTGAGTCTGCGCTCTTAGGTACTGCGTCAGCTTCGGCCTCCCTCACCTTCACCCTTGACTCAGGGGCTTCTCGCTCCTTCTTTCGGGACCGCACCACACTCACGCCGCTTAGTCGGCCAGTTGCGGTGTCTCTGGCTGACCCCTCTGGGGGTCCTGTCCTGTCTCACTTCTCCACAGTCCTCCTGTGTCCGGCGGCTCCCTCTGGCACCCTGTCTGGTCTCTACCTCCCCTCGTTCTCTACGAACTTGGTGAGTGGTGCTGACCTACAGGATGGGGGAGTGCACCAGTTCACTCTTGCGCGTCAGCGAGTGACGCACTGCACAGAGGCTCGGACAGGCCGACACTTGGCTACGTTTATACGTCTGCCCGGGTCGAGCCTGTACACACTGACCACTGCGTCTCCTCGAGTTGCTGAGTCTGGTAGGGTAGCTGCGTCGGGTCAGGTGTTTGCTGCAGCGTCCAGGTCTGGTCCTGAGTCTGCCCCCTGTTCGTGTCGTCTCCTATCTCACGAGACTCTGCTCTGACTCTACTCAGACGCTTCATATGGACGTGTGGGGCCCAGCCCGCGTCCGTGGACAGGGTCACGAGCGCTACTTCCTGCTCGTTGTTGACGACTACTCGGGTTACACCGCGGTCTTCCCCTTGCGCAGCAAGGGTGATGTCACTGAGATGCTGATCGACTGGATCCGTGCAGCTCGTCTCCTGCTCAGGCAGAGCTTTGGCTCAGACTTTCCTGTTCTGCGTCTGCACTCGGACAGAGGCGGAGAGTTTTCCTCTGGCCTTCTGAGAGCCTACTGTCGCGCACGAGGCATCCGTCAGACCTTCACGCTTCCGGACTCTCCGCAGCAAAATGGGATTGCTGAGCGCCGCATGGCATGGTCATGGACGTTGCTCGTACGTCCATGATGCATGCTGCTGCCCCCCATTTTCTGTGGCCGATTGCGGAGAGGTACGCGGCGCATCAGATCAACCTTCACCCCAGAGTCTCAAGGCCGGAGACCTCCCCAGCATTGCTGTGGACGGGCAAGGTTGGCGATGCGTCTACGTTCCGGGTCTGGGGATCTCGGGCGTCTGTCCGCGACTTGTCTGCGGACAAGCTGTCCCCTTGTGCTGCTCCTTGCGTCTTCCTGAGGTTCCCCCCTGACGCGCCCGGGTGGCAGTTCTACCACCCCACCTCCCGGCATGTTCTGTCCTCTCAGGACGTCACGTTTGACGAGTCGGTCCCCTACTACCCCCTCCCCCCTCAGGCTCCTGCCCCTTCAGGTGTGTCCCAGATAGACGCAGTCGAGCCTACCGAGGTTACTGGTGACTCTGGTGCTGCTGGGGGTACTGAGCCTGGGGGTGATAAGCATGCGGGTGCTACTCCTGGGGGTGCTGAGCCTGGGGGTGCTGAGACTAAGGGTGATGAGCCTGGGGGTGCTGAGCCTGGGGGTGCTGAGCCTGGGGGTGCTGAGCCTGGGGGTGGTGTTCCTGCGAGTGCTACGCCTGGAGGTGTGAAGCCCGAGGGAGCTGGACCTGTTTGTGTGGCGCCTGGAGGTTCTCCGGGTGCTTCGTCTTGGCGGGAGCCTCTCTCTCCACACGAGCTTCGCGAGTGGTTTGCCTGGCGCTGGAGGCGTGCTGCTGGAGCGGGAGGTTCTTCGGCTCCTGAGGGTGCTGGTGCTCGTACTGGGAGTACTGGAGCTGCTGGGCCTACGGGTACGACTTGAGCTGGTGCTGCTGAGGGTGTTGGCGCTTAGACTACTACTGGTGGTCCTGCTGGGGGTACTCCTGGTGCTGCTGGAGGTTCTGGAGCTGCTGGAGCTGCTGCTGGACCGGGTGCTTCTGCTAGGGGTACTGGTGCTGTCCATGCTGTGTCTGGCATCGCCGCGCGGCCTCGACCGTACTTCGTTCCACTCCTGCAGTAGGTTCTTGGTCTTCCACCTCCTACTGGTCCTCCTCCTTCTTTAGAGTGTCCACAGCCTGTACCGTCGCAGTTACAGTTAGAGCCTGCCTCCCCTTTGCCTGCTCCTTCTCCCTACACTGGTCCTACTGGAGGTCTTGCTGAGCGTCGTGAGCATGCGTCTCGCCCTGCGTCGCCTGTCCGTGCTGCCCGCACTAGTGGTCGTGGTTCGCGTCAGCGTCCTCCTCCTGTCCCTGGCACGCACGGGATGTCTCTGCGTCCGTCCACTGATCCTCTGCGTGCCCCTTTGCCTTCTCCTCCTGAGTCCTCTCTTCCTGCTCTTACCAACCCGGAGTTGGACTCTCTTCGTGTTGCCAGTCCTACTATCACGCGTCTCCTTGCTACTGTCGTCACTGACCCTTCCTTCGAGTCCACTGCTGCGTCTGCCCTAGTTGCTGAGCTCGTCAACTTTGCTGCTCGCTGTCGCCTAGACTACGCTGCTAGTCTTGTCGCTGAGTCTGAGTCTGTCTGTCCTCCGTCCGTCGGGGGTGAGTGTGCCCTTGGCACGGACGTCCTTGAGGACAGGCAGGAAGAGTTCCAGTGTCTGGCTGTGCTTCACCTCATCTCGTGTCCGTACTGCTTACCCCTGAGGGAAACCTGGATGCACTTGACATCCCGACTCCGCGCTCTTACGCGGAGGCGATAGAGGGTCCCTACTCCTCTCAGTGGCAGGCAGCTATGGACACAGAGATGGCTTCCTGGAAGTCCACAGGCACCTATGTTGACGAGGTTCCCCCGCCTGGGGCGAACATCGTCAGTGGCATGTGGATCTTCAGGGTGAAGCGACTGCCGGGTTCTCCGCCTGTCTTCAAGGCACGGTACGTGGCTCGTGGCTTCAGTCAGCGGCAGGGAGTTGACTACTTTCAGACCTTCTCTCCCACCTCGAAGATGACCACTCTTCGGGTACTGCTGCACGTTGCTGCTCACTGTGACTACGAGCTGCACTCTCTCGACTTGAGCACAGCTTTCTTGCAGGGCAGCCTGCACGAGGAGATCTGGCTGCGCCGCCCACCTGGCTTCACTGGGTCGTTCCCTCCTGGTACCCAGTGGAGTCTCCGGCGTCCAGACTACGGTCTCCGCCAGGCGCCCCGTGAGTGGGGCATAGGGCTAGTGCTTGGAGGGCGGAGTCCAGTGGTCCTCACTGGGCACGCAGACACTTCTTAGGTTGACGACCAGGCTACGCAGCGGTCGTCACAGGGTTACACCTTCAGCCTTGGTTCCGGCTCTGTCTCGTGGCGGGCTACTCGCTCGTCTTCTGTTCTCGGCTCCAGTTGTGAGGCTGAGATCTACGCTGGGGCCATGGCTGCACAGGAGCTTCGCTGGCTCACCTACCTGCTGACTGACCTTGGAGAGCCGCCTCGTTCTCCTCCAGTCCTGTACGTAGACAACAAGGCCATGCTGGCCTTGTGTCGAGAGCAGAGACTGGAGCACAGAACAAAGCACATTGCTCTCCGCTACTTCCTTGCTCGTGAGCTACAGCAGCGTGGTTAGTTGCGACTTGCGTACGTGGCCTCTGAGGCCAACACTGCTGATGTTTTCACCAAGGCACTTCCGCCTTGTGATCATCAGCGCTTCTGCATTCAGCTGGGTCTTCTCCCTGTCTTGCCTCAATTGCTCACCTCTTAACCTTACTTGTACTGTTACATATATATATATACCTGCTCTTGCTTGTCTAGCCTTATATATATACATGTGTATATATATATATATGTGCTCCTGCATGTGAACTGGCCTTGTGGCCTTGAACTTGTGCTCGGAATGCGTGGTGACTTTGTGGTCCACCCTGAGCTTTGCTTTGCTTTGCTTGACTGGTCTTGTGACCCCCTGTTCTCCCCCACTTTGCCTATGGGGGTGTGTCAGAACATTATAGCTTATGCTTTTGTGTAGGCTGTAGTGGGGTATCCCATAGGGGGTACAACCCAATTAGGGTTAGTACTTGTACCCACTTCATTCATAGTTCATTCATTTCTCGTTTTCATTTCCTCAACAAGATGTTAGCAGGGATAGCGAAATATTATTACTGGCCCGGGATGGCAGCAGACGCGCAGCAGTTCGTCACCTCATGAGACACGTGCTAGCGGATGAAGAGTAGCAAGCAGAAAAAAACAGGGTTACTTCAACCTCTACCCGTACCGGAGCAGCCATGGCAAGTCGTCAGCCTAGACTTTATCACTAGGCTACCTTTGACCTCACAAGAGCATGACGCTATACTCGTAGTGATCAACAAGTTTTCTAAAATGGGACATTTGATCTCCACCAATGCCACAGCTACAGCTGAAGCAACTGCTCGCCTCTTCTTCGACCGCATCATCACTATTCGCGGCAACGCCACTACACTCATCTCTTACAGCGACTTAAAGTTCACTAGTAAGTTCTGGAGGGAACTCATGGGTTTGTTGGGGACAAAGCTTGCGATGTCTTCAGTGTACCACCCCCAGACTAATGGACAGACTTAGCGACTCAATCAGGTGGTTGAACAGTTACTACGCACAGCTTGCAAAGACGGCGTCAACCACTGGAATCTACAGCTACTGACTCTTGAGTTTGCTTACAACAATGCGTCACATGCGGCCACAGGGAAAACTCATTGCTTCCTGTGTTACGGGCAGGAACCACTTACACCACAACAGCCAACCACGTCGTCACACGTCCAAGTCGCACGTGACTTTGTCACCACCATGCAGCAGCTATGGGAGAAGACACAGCAACGTCTCACCACGATGCAGAACTCCCAGAAGCAGTATGCCGATCACGAGCGACGTGATCACACCATAGTAGTCGGAGATCAGGTGCTTCTTGACACGCACAAATTAAACCTGTCTCACCTACCATCCAAGCTCCGGCCTCGATTCTGTGGTCCTTTTCACGTTGAGGCACATGTGACACCAGTAACATTCTGCTTCCGCTTACCTACTACGTAGAAGCTTCACAATGCTTTCCATGTTCAGCTATTAAAGCCCTACAAGGACCCCAACCGACAGTTCATGGGATGGCAACTACCGCCACCACGATCTGTTCTCGTACAGGATTAACCAGAGTACGAGGTGGAACGAGTGCTTGCTCATTGACACAAATGCGGCAAGACGCTCAAGTTCCTGATACGCTGGAAGGCATACGACCCGTCAAAGGACAGTTGGGTTGCAGAAGCTTATATGGGCAACGCACTGAGAAGAAGTGAACGAGAATGGAATGACTATGAACGAAGTGAGTACAAATAGGAAACCCTGATTGGGTTGTACCCCTTATGGGATACCCCACTATAGCCTACAGAAACAAGTAAGCTATATGTTCTGACACACCCCCATAGGCAAAGTGGGGGAGAACAAGGGGTCACAAGACCAGTCAAGCAAAGCAAAGCAAAGCTCAGGGTGGATCACAAAGTCACCACGCATTCCGAGCACAAGTTCAAAGGCCAGAAGGCCAGTTCACATGCAAGATCATATATAGAGATATACAAGAGGCAAACAAGCAAGAACAAGAGTATATATAGGCGAAGGTACAAGCAAGGTCAAGAGGAGAGCAAGTGAGGCAAGACAGGCACAAGACCCAACTGCGTGCAACAACGCTGATGATCACAAGGCGCAA